TCCCCGAATTTGCTGGTTCCTGGGTGTCCTGATGGGGCCGTGTCCTGGCTGGTCCTTGTGCCTCGTGTCCACCTGAAGAAGGGATCGGGGAGGTGCTGGAGAAGGAAGACTGCATGCAGGCCCTGAGTGGCCAGATCTTCATGGGCATGGTGTCCTCCCAGTACCAGGCCCGGCTGGACATCGTACGCCTCATTGACGGGCTGGTCAATGCCTGCATTCGTTTTGTCTACTTCTCTCTGGAGGATGAGCTCAAAAGCAAGGTGGCGAGAGCACCCCCCCATCCCTGCCCCACTGCCGCCACCGATCCCTGTCCTCACGGGCTTTGGGGCCCATCTGTTCACCGCTGTTTGCCTTTTGCAGGTGTTTGCAGAAAAGATGGGCCTGGAGACAGGCTGGAACTGCCACATCTCCCTCACACCCAATGGCGACATGCCCGGCTCGGAGATCCCACCCTCCAGCCCCAGCCACGCTGGCTCCCTGCACGATGACCTGAATCAGGGTGAGAGCAAAGGTTTGTGGTGGGGACGAGGTGGGGTGGGTGGCCCCCCTTGCAGCTGTACTAGAAAGAGCCCCCTGGAGCCTTCTGGACATGCACATTCCCATGGAAAGTGGCTTCAGCCTCCCCTTGGTCATGGCGGCTGATGGGGGAGGGGCGGACACCGGTAGGCAGGGAGGTCCCTGCCACATGCAGGCAAGGAGAGGCCCTTAGAAGGCTCGCCCCCAGGTGAGGGACAGGTTTTCATCCCCACAGTGTCCCGTGACGATGCAGAAGGGCTCCTGCTGGAGGAGGAGGGGCACTCAGACCTCATTAGCTTCCAGCCCACTGACAGCGACCTCCCCAGCTTCCTGGAGGACTGCAACCGGGTAGGGTGGCGGGCCTGCACCCCGCACTCCTGGAGGGGGCACGCGGCAGGTCCGGGCAGAGAAGGGAGGGCAGGGACCCTTCTCTCGGACCCGGGGGCCACCTGCGTCTCTGCTTCCTGCAGGCCAAGCTGCCCCGGGGCATCCACCAGGTGCGGCCCCACCTTCAGCACATCGACAACGTGCCCCTGCTGGTGCCCCTTTTCACCGACTGCACCCCCGAGAGTGAGCACTGGGCCACCAAGACTTGGGTGTCCTGTGGGCTCCTGAGGGGGTGTTGGTTTCCCGTTCAGGGAGCAGAGGAACCCGGGCTGGAAGGAGGTGGGGGGTCTGGTGGGCTGCAGCCCTGGGGGTGCCTGTTCTAGGGAGTCCAAAGTGCTGTGCCATTGAGAAGCTGGTCACAAAGGAGATCCCACTTCCCGTCCCGTGGGTCTCTGCCCAGTGCCTCACATGGCCTTGACCACCTGACACGGCGCCCCGACTCTGCCCCCCAGCCATGTGCGAGATGATCAAGATCATGCAGGAGTATGGGGAGGTGACCTGCTGCCTGGGCAGCTCTGCCAACCTGCGGAACAGCTGCCTGTTCCTCCAGAGCGACATCAGGTCAGGGGGACCCCAGACCTGGGCTTGCCTTGGGCTGCGGCATACGTTATGGCTGATCTTGCCCTGGTTGAGGGGACCAGGGGACCTGGGCACAGTGGGGAGAAGAGGGATCAGGCGCTTGCCCAGTCCTATGGGAGACAGCGTCTTCGGAAAGGGCAGCTGATGGGAACACGTCCCCCTGCACTGCCCAGCATTGCCCTGGACCCCCTGTACCCATCCCGCTGCTCCTGGGAGACCTTTGGATACGCCACCAGCACCAGCATGGCCCAGGCCTCGGATGGCCTTTCTCCCCTGCAGCTCTCAGGCCACCTCAACAGCCTGCCTTGCTCCCTGACCTTCCGCCAAGAGGAAACCATCAGCATCATCCGCCTCATCGAGCAGGTAGGGGCTTGGGCTGGTGGTGGGAGGGGGCCTTGGCGGGGCGGGGCCTGCTTGGGCTGGGGGTGTCATGACACAGGACCCACCTGGGCTGCCAAGGGCAAGCTCGCCTCCAGGCAAAGGTCTCCCAGGCAGGTAGGTTTGCAGGGGTGTCAGGGCACCAGGTTCTTGGCTGAGGTTCGTCAGCTCTGGAGTCTGAGAGAGGCCACAATCTGTCCCTCCTGGTCCCTAGGCTCGGCATGCCACCTATGGCATTCGCAAGTGCTTCCTCTTCCTGTTGCAGTGCCAGCTGTCCCTTGTGGTCATCCAGGTGAGCCGGCCAGCAGATGTTGTCCCCTCCCTGCCTGCTTCTTTGCCTAAGGGCCAGTTCAGAGTCCGAGGCCAGCTGGGAGGCTAGGAGGGTGCAGCGCAGCCCAGGAGCCCCTGAGCCTCTCTGAAACCCCGGGCTTTTGGAGACGGCCCCGTGAGCAGAACAGTGTGCCCATCAGCCCCAGGCCCTCTGGGCCGGGATGTGAGCGTCTGCCTGGGCAGAGGGGGAGGCAGCCTTGGGGCCCCCAGGGTCCTCTTTGTCAGAGACTAATCGTGCTTTCTGGGCCCTCCTGGTCCAGTTCCTCTCTTGCCTAGTCCAGCTGCCACCACTGCTCAGTACCACCGACATCCTGTGGCTGTCCTGCTTTTGCTACCCTCTGCTCAGGTGAGAAACTGGCTGTCCCTCTGTGCCCAGGCAGGCAGGGCTGGGAAGTTACTGAGCACCCCCAGGAGCCCAGGTTCAGGGAGTCCCAGGGAAATGCCCCCTTGTCTTAACCCTCCTGCCCACCAGCCCTGCCCTCTCTCCCAAATCCCAAGATTCCTACATGGAAATTGAGAGATAGAAGGTCACAGTAGCTGCCCTTTACCCGGTCTTTGCTTTTCAGCATCTCTCTGCTGGGGAAGCCCCCCCATAGCTCCATCATGTCTATGGCAACGGGGAAAAACCTTCAGTCCATTCCTAAGAAGGTAAGCAAAGTAGAGCCGGTGAACCCAGGCCTTGCCCAAGGAATGTGAGTGTGGAAGGGGCTGGTCCTCAGGAAAAGGAGCGATCAGGATGGGGCTCCTGTCACAGTGTCCTCGTCCAAAGGAGGTTGGGTACAGAGCTGAGGAAGAGCCTCGCTGGGTGGGCAGCCCTATCCCCCCAGGCCTGCCCATTTACCGAGGAGCCCACTGGGTCTGAGGGCCTCTGGAGTAACGGGCCTCCATCCTCCTGCAGACCCAGCACTACTTCCTGCTCTGCTTCTTGCTCAAGTTCAGCCTCACCATCAGCTCCTGCCTTGTCTGCTTTGGCTTCACGCTGCAGAGCTTCTGTGACAGCTCCCGGGCCCGCAACCTCACCAACTGCTCCTCCGTCATGCTGCCGAGGTGGGTCCCGCCTACGGCCCCCTCTCCTCACCCCCAGTCCACTTCCCAGGGGCCCAGACGGGGCTGAGCCCACGCCTTGCTTTGGCAGCCACGCCGACACGGCCCCCGCCTGGTTTGATGACTTTGCCAATGGCCTGCTGCCGGCTCAGAAGCTTGCTGCCGCCCTGATCGTCCTGCACACTGGTGAGGGGCTTCTGGAAGGGGCGGTGGTGGCTGGTGGGGCTGCCCTGGGGCCCGGGCTTCAGCCCGTGGCAAGTCTGACCACCCCCTCGGACCCTGTTTTCTGCAGTTTTCATTTCCATCACCCATGTGCATCGCACCAAGCCACTGTGGAGAAAGAGCCCTCTGACAAACCTCTGGTGGTCCCTGACGGTGCCTGTGGTGTGAGTGTGGCTGAGCTGGACTGTGGGTAGGGGGTGGGGCTAGGCTCTGGCAGGGCTGTGATTGGAGGCAGCTTCGAGCCAGAGGCTGAAGGGTGCCCTTCTTGAGCTAGTGGTACTGAACAACGCAGGGTAGGGAGCAAGAAGAGCCAGGCTGACGTAGGGCTGCCACCCCCGCCCCGCAGGCTGCTGGGACAGGTGGTCCAGACGGCAGTTGACCTGCAGCTGTGGACACACAGGGAGAGCCACGTCCACTTCGGCCTGCAGGATGTTCCTCTGCTGACGTGGCTCCTGGGCTGCCTGTCCCTTGTCCTTGTGGTGGTCACCAATGAGATCGTGAAGCTGCATGAGATCCGGTGAGCCGCCAGCAGAGCCCTGGCACGTTTCCTAAGGTGCCACCGCCTGGACACCACATTCCCTTGCTTTCTTGAGCCCCTTCTCTGCTGCCCCATGTCCTGTCCTAACCCCTGACAAGGGCATCTGTGCTGATTTGGACTTCCATCTCCTGCCCCACCAGGGTCCGGGTCCGCTACCAGAAGCGACAGAAGCTGCAGTTTGAAACCAAGCTGGGCATGAACTCTCCCTTCTGAGCCACTGACCATGGTAGACACAGTGGCTCCAGTCCCTGGGGCTAATGCCAGACCCATTTGTGTCTGGGGAGTTGGTATCATGAATGTTTCAGGGTTTGCTCTTGTGCCCTGTGGCACTGGGGGCCCAGGTCGGTGTGAAGTCCAGCTGTCGCCTGCCCCCCAGAGCCACTGAGGAGCCAGCGAGTGTGGCCTTGTCACCAGTCCTGGCTCTTCCCTGGGCCTCCCAGGGCACCTCGAATGTACGGCCTCCTGTGCTTAGCAGAGGGCTCTTGGCCCCTCTTCTGGGCCACCTGACCCAGTGGTCCCTGCTCTGGGGTCTCTGGACAAGGCTGTGAACCATAGGGCCAGGGCTTCAACATCACCAGCCGGGGTGATGCTGTATCCTCTCTGCGCCCCTTAGCCTGTCTTCCTGGGGCCTGGAAGTGGCCAAGGACCTCCCCTCCCTCCCTCTGCAGGGGAGCCTTGCCCTGGAACCCTTTCCTGTGCCTGCCTTCAAGCTGGCCACGAGAGTCAGTCTTGGGGATACGGCCCAGGGCTCCTTTCAGCTGCCCCCAAATTCTCCTGTGAGGATGTTTTTACTGGTGTATATTTTTTACTGGAAATGAGCCTTTTAGGAGTGAATGTAGTCTGCTTTGTATTAAAACTTATAAATTGCTTAACAGAAACCTGTGGCTGGTCCATGAGGCAGCCACTGAGGGGAGGAGAGAGGGCCCAAGCCTTCCTCCTCCCACCTCGACGGGAGCCCAAGGGTCTGGCTCAGGGTCCGAGGCGCACATCCAAACACACAGGCGCGTCACGTGGAATGACACTTCATTGGTGTTAGTTGGGGCAAGAGGTTAATGGTGACAGAACCCGGGTCTGGCCAACCAAGCCAGGCCTCTGGCCCTGAGGTGGGCGGCGGGCACTCTTCCTGTGGTCCGAAGCCCCTCCCCCACTGCATCTTCTCAGGCAGTTATAGATAGAATAAATTCCATTTAAAATATATGCATTTCTCTCTGCTTAAAAAATATTTACAGTTGAAAAAGCTTGGACTTTGGGGGTCTGTTAATCCCACTGTCCCCACCCCCACCAGCCCTGCCTCACTGAGGGCAGGCAGGGGAGGGACCAGCGTCTGGCCTGGGCACTGCCACCACCGCCGGGCAGGCCCCGGTGGCTTATTTACATGTCCTATGTGCAGCTGTGGGGACCCTGCCAGACACATGGCCACCTCCAGCCTCAGCCCCAAAACAGCACAGCAGGTGGCGAGGGGACCTTGGCACAGGCGCTTGAGACACTTCGGGGAGGCAGAGACGGCACCCTAGAAACTCGGCCCCGCCTCTCTCCCTGGGGAGGGAGCTCTTACCAGGGCCCTTGTCCGAGGGGTAGGGCTCCCTGCTCAGGTTACACACTGGAGGGGTTTTCGCTGAGATGTCAGGTTCTGATGAGTCCCCTTGGACCCGCTGCAGGAGCGGGCAATCTCCACAGCCTCCCTGGAACCTCAGTGCTGACAGCCACTGGCTTAGAGCAGCAGGAGGGGCCCTGATAGGCTGGCAGGAGCTCCTTTTGCATTGGGGCAAAGGCAGTGGATGCTGAAGGACCCAGGGGCGCTGCCGAAGGCTGTGGAAGGTCCGGCTCAGTCCAGCATGGCATCTAGCTGGTCCGCCAGGGCATCAAACATGGTGCTGATGTCATCCAGAATGTGCTTGGTGGAGGTGCTGGGGGGGCTGCAGAGGGGAGGACTGGGTCAGATCGCCCTGCTGGCCCAGGGCAAGGGTGCTGTTACTGCACACCTGGTGGGTGCCAAGCGCTTCCCAAGGATCTTAGTTCTCACAGCCTCCGGAACTGCCCCATACGTGAGTGCACTGGGGCTCTGAGGGGAAAGTGACTCGCCCAAACCATGTGCCTCTAAGTGGCAGCCATTGGATTCCCTGCAGGGCAGATCTAGGTGATCGCAAAACTTAGGTTCCTCCTGTTCCAACAGGGGACCCCCAAGCCTGAGGCTCTACCTGTGACTCCTCTGCTTCCCCAACGCTCCCAGGACCCCCCAAAAGAGGACATAGGAGGGGCTGTTCCTATGCCACCACCTTCTTCCCCTCCCCGCCCAGCACCCCTCACCCCTCTCGCTCCTCGGCACCAATGCTCCTCTCCGCCGCCCGCAGTGCAGCTGCCAGGGACGAGCTGGTCTGCTCCAGTCTCTGCTGGGCCCGGCCCGAGCCTGCAGCCCCTGTGCTCTCCGGCCTTGGAGGCGGTACAGGGCGGGGGCCAAGTCGGGGAGCCAACTTAGGACCAGAAAATGCCAGCTGGGTGCAGGCCACGGACACAGGCTTGGGAGCCATTCCTGCAGAGACAAAGAGGTTGGCCTGTGACTTGACTGGGTAGGACACAAGCCCTGAAAACAGTGCCTGGTCCCTGCAGGCCCTGCCTCGTACCTGCTCCAGGCATCTTGATGAGGGCAGCAGGGGGAGCTGGGGGCTCTGGCTCCCTGTGCTGCCGATTGACTGCCGAGTTTTCCAGAGCTGGCCCAGGGCAGGGGGCCATGGGAGGTTGGGTTGGGGGGCTGGGAAAAAGAGGGGCTGGAGCTCCTTGCGTTGAAAGGCTGTTAGGGTCAGGCTGAGGGGGGCTGGGAGAAGCCACGGGAGACTCACTGGGGGTCTGGGAGGGCACAGGGACAGAAGGGCTGGGCATGGCATTGGCCACTCCGAAGGCCATAAGTGCCGTCTGCAGCGGCTCTCTCTCGCGGCATCTGGGCCTCCGCTTTACAGTGTCTGACTCGGTGAGGTTGAACTCGAGGCCGGCGGGCACGGGCGTCTCCCGGGGTGCAGGGCCAGCGGGCTTTGGCCGCTGTTTGATAGTCAGGTTGCCCTCCTCCGCGAACGGGAGCCCTTCCCCTGAGCTTCCCCGAGACGGGGCTGTCCCCTCAGGTCCTGGGTCCTCTTCTTCCTCTGTGTCTGATGCGGGGCCGGCTGGGGTAGGTGGGCCAGGGGGCTCCGACGGCCCAGCTGGTTCACTCAGTGTTCGCCTTCGGGGCCCTGTGGCCCCCTCTTTGGGCCCCGGGCCTCCATCCAGTGGAGGTGGGTCTGGGGTGGGGCCCGAGACGGAGCTGAGGCGCTTTGGGGGAGGTGGTGGAGGGCCTTTGCGTCTGGCCCGAAGGGCAAAGGACTGGCTGCGGGGAGCCCCTCGAGCTGGGGTCTGGCTGGGGCTGGCCCGGGCTAGGGCACTGCGTCCTGGTCGCCGAGTGAGGGTGGCATAACTGCCCAAGGCACTGCCCACTGGCCCTTCGGCCTCGCCCTCTATTTCCCCCTCAGTTGGGCCAGGGCGGCTCAGGCTGTGGGACCGGCGCTTGGGCCGAGGCGGGTCTGGAGGAGTGGCAGGCGGGCCAGCCAAATATGAGAAGGCCCGGGGTGCACCTGGGGTTGGCCCTGGGGCTGGGCTGGAGGGTGAGCCCTGGGGGTACATAAACACATAAGGGGGAGGGCCTTGGCCAGGAAGTGGAGAACAAAGCTTAGGAGGCCGCTCTGTGCCTTCTGGAAGGTTCCTTTCCTGTGGGGTGCTGGCATCTCCACCACTGGGCTGGGGGGTAGGCTGTTCCTGTGAGTGACCAGACCCTCGTGAGCGTGCCCCAATGCTCTCCTGGCTGGGGGAACGGGCAGGGGGCAGGGGGAGCGGCTCAGGGCCGCCCCCTGCCATGGCTGCCTGTAGCTCTGGGCTCAGCTCGCTGCCCTGAAAGGTGAGAAGGCGTGGGCCAGCCACAGCATGTCCGTCCCCATTCTCCAGCCCTTCAATGGCCATCAGCTCCGGGCCCCTGGCCAGTGGGCGGTTGCCCTCGCCTGGGGCCTCCCCCTGCAGCAGGCCCCGCCGGAGCTCAGCTAGACGCTTCACACCCAGCATGAGCTTCTTCTGATGTCCTGAGGGGTGGACACAGGGGCAGGGTTAGCTGGTCACCCTAGTCTCTCTCAAACCCCACCCTCTGTTCTGGGCCTGGATGCTGAACGTGTTTTGGAGACCCCTGGAGGCCCCAGTGCACTCGGCGCTCACCAAGCTTATTAACACCGATCTCCTGCAGCTCCTCCCAGGTGAGGTCGGCCACCAGCCCCATGGAGTCATAGCCGCTGCTCACCAGCTGCTTGTGGTACTGCGGCAGCCCCAGCGCGCACAGCCACTCCAGCAGGTCTGCCTGGAAGAGCACCATTGTCGGTCAGAGCTGGCTCCCAGGCCATTAAGACACCAAAAAGCCCCAGCTGAGGCGGGAACGGGAGCCGGCCGCCCACTCACCGGGATGTAGCTGGGCAGCCACTCGGCGATGCTGAGCTGGGCAATCTCCGAGGCAATCTTCTTCCTGTGCCCAGGCTTGGTCACCCCGATGGCCGTCAGGTCCTGCCACCCAGAACAGTGCCGTCAGCCCCTCTTCTGCCCACGGGACCCCCTACTGCCATCCCCCGGGGGGCACCTACCTCGGGTGTCATGCGGCTGATGGTGGGCACGTCGTAGCCAGCTTGCAGAAAGTGGGCGGTGTAGCCCTCCAGCTGGAACTCACTCAGCCAGTTATAGATGGCCTGCGCATCCTGGGGTGGGGTGGGACCGGGCCAAGTTACCAGAGCCCAGTCTGAGGAGGGGCCGAGGCTGGGGCCCAGCCATCTGCCCCAGAAGCCTCTGGGGGCCTGGCCTGACCAGGGACTTCAGTCCACCCTGAAGCCCACCAGCCCCCACCCTGGGCCCGCAGCCCACTCCCCAGAGGAGGTTGCACCTTCCCCTCCAGCAGCTGCTCTGGCCTCACGTCCTGGGTGAAGAGCTGCTCCCCAGAGCGACAGTTGGCCACAGGGCGGTGGCTCAGGTTGTCTTCAAGGAGGGAGAGGAATGGAATCAGAGGTGGCAGGACAAAGGGGTGCCAAGCCCTTGGCCTCCCCACCTGCACCTCTGCTAGGCCACCTGAGTCCCAGTTACCCTGCCCACCTGCCAGGGATGGGGGGTGCAGTCCTGGTAGCACCTGGTCCTCTCCGGCAGACATAAGTGGCTGGAGACAGGGAAGGAGCCGACTCAGTGTTTGGAGAGGGGGCAGCAGGCAGGTGGGCCTCCCCTGTGTCAACACCCCCTCACTCCTACCTGGGCATTCTCAATAAGGAGTCCAGTACTATGGCCATTGGTGCCCTCGGAACTCTGCCCGCTGCCAGCACTGCGGATGCTGCCCACACTGCCCTCGCTGCCCACGCTATTCCTGTCACCTGCTGCAGCGGGCAGAAGCAAAGGGGTCAGAACCCCAGTTGGCCTTGCCAACAGCTGACTGGCAGGCAGCCTGCCAAAGCCAGATGTCCACCCCGGCGCCCAGGGCTGCTCTCCAGGAGGACGCACCTGGGCTGTCTGGGCTCAGGCCCACTCGTGGGAGCTGGCCATAGGTGATGGGGTGCAGGGGGTCATCAGCAGGGGGTTGTGGAGTCCGGGAGAAGTTTGGACGCAGCGCGGTGGGCACGGAGGGGAGGCGGGATGTAAGGGTGCCCACTCGCTTGCTGACCACTTCGACGATGCCAGGAGGAAAGTAGCCCACACGGTCTGTGCCCCTCTGGCTCTCGTGGATGTGCCCCTTCCAGCGGCCATCGGGATGCTGCTCCAGCACCTGCGGCAGACGGGGGGGAGGGGAGGCAATGGTTACTTCCTGTACCAAGCAAGGGCAGGCGGCCAGCCTTGCAGCTGCGGTCCAGCTCTTCGCCTACCCCCAAGAAGCCGGTCTCTGATGCCCAGTCACCCACGGTTCTGCCCCTGCTGTCAGCATCCAGCCCAGTCCTCTGTGTGCCTCCAGAACATACACACAGCAGTCCTGGAGTCGGCCCAGGTTCAGATCCCAGCTCCACTGTGTGCTGGCTCTGTGGCCTTGGGAAGTCACATCAATCTCTCTAAGCCTCAACTCTGTCATCTCTAAAAAGGGAGAGGTGACAGTCCCTTTACCTGGAGCAGGGGGAAATCAATGACATGGTGCATACAGAGGTCTCGGTACAAAGTCTCACCCACAGTAGGTACCTAAATAAGTGACGGTGATCACGTGTGTTCGCAAAGGAACGCCTGCCCCGGGTCCTCACCGTAATGACGTCCCCTGCCCGGACATTGAGGGCAGTGGGATCGTGAAGGTTCCAGAAATCCTTGAGTGCGCGAACCTTCAGGATCCCTGAGGCCTCTGAGAGAAGTGGAAGACAGGTGTCACCTGAGGGTCCTTAGGATGTCTTCCTACCCTTTATGTCCCCTCCATGGCCCTCCCCCAGGTCCCTGCCTGCTTATCCCCAAGCATATCTTCCTGATGAGCCCCGGGCCCAGGGCACCCTGCTCCTGTGACGTCCATTCCTGACCTACTTCCAGGTGCCCCTGGAGTGGGGGACCTCTGCGGCGGGGCTCCTCCCACACACACTCACCCCGCAGCAGCTGCTTGATTTCCCGGCTGGCCTGGGAGGTGGTGAACTGATTCACAATGTCCAGTGCAGTCTGGTTGTACGTGTTCCGAATGTTCACATCCACCCCGCCCTGGGGACATAGTGCGGAGGGAGCGTGTCTACTAAGCACTTTGCTTGTCATTTCCCTTAATCCTCACGACTACCCAGGAGACAGGTACTATTTTTAAATTGTACAGATGAAAAAACAGAAGCTCAGAGATAGGGTCAAGGACTAGCTCAAGGTCCCTCAGCTAGTAAGAGGCAGAACTGGGGCTTGAACCAGGTCCATCTGCTCTCCAGCCACTCGGCCACTGCACATGCAAAACACCATGTTGGCAGGGGAGAGCCCTTTGCAGTGGGTCTCGGGCCCAGCGCCAGTGGGGTCTGTGTGCACCTCGGGGACGGCCAGGCGCCCACACCCACCTCTAGGAGCAGCCGCACCACCTCGGTCTTGCCGTACAGCGCAGCCTCGTGCAGCGCCGTGCCCGTCTTGGTCTGCCGGTTGATCTCAATTCCAGCTCTCAGGAGCTGCCTGTGGACAGGAGGGGAGTCCCAAGGGTGTGTGGGGGGAGAAGGGGCAGGAGAGGAAGAGCCAATTGCTGTGGGCAAGGGAGAGTGATCCAGAGTAGGGGTGAAGAGGGCAGCAGGGCAGGGCACGGAGGGGACGCTGCCTGTCCCACAGGAAGGGGATGAGGAAACGAAGGTGGGGGCAGCGGTTGGGTACCTGATGACCTCTCTGTGACCATTCTTGGCAGCCAAGTGCAAGGGCGTGGTGTAGTTGGGGTCACACGGGTCCTTGGCCTCACCCTCCAGCAGGGCCACACATAAATGGCTGTTCAGCAGTAGCTGGGCCACCTGCAGCAACCAGCACCGGGGTGAAGCCTTCTCTTGAGACCCCACAGACGCCCAGAGCCCAGAACCCAGCCCCCACGAGGGGATGCAGGCCTCACCTTGAGCCGCCCAAACTCACAGGCCAGGTCCAGGGGCGTCTTCTTGGCTTTGTTGACCAGGCAGGGATTGGACTGATGCTGGAGGAGCATTTCTGACTGGGGGTGAGCAGGGAGGCGAGTGAGGCGTGCGGCCTGGCCAGCCCCTCCGTGCCAGCCTGGGCCCCTGCCCCCACCCCCACACCTCTGAGGGCAGGCGGGCTCACGTACCACTTCGTAGTGGCCATACTGGGCAGCCAGGTGCAGCGGGATCTGCCCATCCAGAGAGGCGACGTTGACGGCCGCAGAGGCCCGCAGCAGCAGCCTCACGGGCTCCAGCCGACCCTGCCAGGCTGCGTAGTGCAGTGGACGCATGCCTGCAGAAGGGGAGGGGGTTCTGAGGGAGGTTCTGGGGCAGGGTGGGGTCTGGGGAGGGCACCGAGCAGGGTCAGGAGCCACCCCAGCTGGAAGGGAGACAGACCCAGTGGAAGCGAGGCTGGCTTCACGTGGGTTGGCTCAGGGAGAGGTCCGGCTACATGAGACTGAAGCCAGAATCCCACCTTGCCCACCGTGGATGATCTGGTGACGTCACAACCACAATGTAACCTTAACCTCCTCGTCTGGAAACTAGTTCCATCCACTACCCAGAGGCTAAGAGGGTTAAAGAGGTGAAGCACTTGTAAGCCCAGAGAAGCTGTGCTAACATCTACCTGTACTACCAACCACAGGGTCCGGGTAGGGGGTGCACTGGCGTCTCACCATTGCTGTCCTTGATGTCCACGGTGGCCTGAGCCTCCAGCAGCAAGGCTATGAGCTCCAGGCTGCCCCCCAAGGCGGCATGGTGAAGAGCAGAGAATCTGGTGTGGAGAGGATACATGGTGGGGGTGTCGGTGTGCAGCTCCCTACCCCCCAAATCCTTGTCTTCCACACCAGACCCATCCCGGGGGCTGGCAGGGCTGGGTTACTTGCCCACTGGGCCCCCCCACCCCCCGGCCGCCAGCCCTGCCGTGGGAGCGCAGAGCAGCCGGGATCCAGCATGAAAGGGCTCAGTGTCTGGGCTGAGAGGCCTGTTTGTCTGGCCTCCCCCCGCAGCCAGCCCAGGGGAGGGGGCCGTGGGAGCAGGAGCCCGAGGGCTCCTATCCTCTAGGGAGAAAAGGGGGCCCAGCAGGAATCTGACCCAAAGAGGCCCCTCAGAGAGGCAACAGGGCCCCTCCCCTCCCTCAGGGGCAGGACCCCTCCCTCCTGTCCTACACAGACAGGGCCCAGAGCTCTCAGCAGACACGCTCTAACGGCCAAGTCTGAGCGGGGAAGACTCTCTAGGCCTCCCCCTCCCCACAACTCTCAGGAGGGACGGGGCTCACACTTACCCGTCGGCATCCTGGTAGTTGACATTGAGCCTCTTCGTGGAGCCCAGGAGCTCTGGGGGTCAGAGCAGCAGGCATCAGCACACCCCAGCGTGATCCGCCCTTGGCAGCCCCCTGACCCCACGCTCCTGCCCCGCCCACCTCCCAAATCCCGCTGACCTCCTGGTGTGCAGGAGAGCACCTGCCCCATGGCCCTATACCGTAGGGTCCTGATGGCTCCCCACCCTGGCCCATCGGCTCGAGGGTGCTGAGTGCAGGGAGCTGCTGCAGCAGTGGCCTACCTTCCCTGGGCCCCTGGCCCAGCGCGTTTATAGAGCCCAGGGGGTGGGGAGGGGGGACCGGCATGCCATGCCCTCAATAGGCCCACGAGCGCATGGTTAGCATTCCTGCCTGAACGGGCCAAGGAACGAGTCTCATTGTCCTGCTGGGCCGAGGGGGCTGGGAGAGAGAGGAGAGGGAGACGACAGGGCTGGCCTCGAGGGTCACAGCGCCCAGCCCTGCAGCATCCCTGGATGGAGCACAGTCGAGAAGGTGGAGTCAGACAGACCCGCATTACACCCCAGCTCCACCACGTACTAGCTGTGCGATCTTAGACAAGTCACTTCATTGCTCAGACTCAGTGTCTTCATCTGTACAACAGGACGGTCAGAACCTGCTCACAAGGCTCAAGTAACTTTGTCAGCATGCAAAAGGTGGAAGCTGTCACCACTTAACGCTCCGTATTGCCAAGATGCTGTCCTCCAGCAAAAGCTGGCACAGTCCCCCCACCGGCCTCTGGCTCTGCATCCACAGGCCCCAGGCAGGACACTCTCTGCTGGGTGGGGGCGAGAATAGCCAAAGGCTCCCGCCCAGGGACCGGATTCACACAGGTGTGTTCCACGTGTGAGCCAGGGCATGGGAAGTGGTGGCCTTCCACAAGCATTGCGGGGGCGGGGGATGCCTGTCACCGGCAGCCCCTGCCTCCTGCTGGAACCCACCCCTGCAGGGAAGGAGGAGGCCTGGCTCAACCCGGGCAGGCGGGGTGCCAAGCATGCTGGTTCAGGCCTGCCCCCAGGCCCTGGTGGGCCCCTGAATACCCCAGCAAGACAGGGCCTCGTTCCAACAGGGAGGGACCAACCCCGAAATGATGAGCGTGGGATGGGGAGGGTGGGGACAGCTACTTTTAGGGCTGAGCTGAATTATGCCACTGCTGAAAATGTAAACATAGAACCAAGGAGTGACTAAGAGGTGAAGAGACTGGGGGCCACTGGGAAGAAACACAGGCCTCCCGCCTTCCTCTAACCCCCTTGAAAAGTCCTTGTCACACAGAAGCGTTGAGGGCACTGGAAAGAACAGGAGACTCTGGAAGTAGGAAGTGCCTGGTTCAAGTTCTTACTGGCCGTGGTCCCTGTCTGAGCCTCAGTGAAGACGATGAGGTCAGCAGGGAAGAGACGCAGAAAGTCCCTCCACCTGCTGTCAGCCTGGACAGCCTGGGACAGGGCAGCAGCGTGGCGGTGAGGTGCAGCCTCTCCGGGGAGTGGCAAGACAATGTGACAGGAGACAGGAACAGGGGCCAGGCCAGGCTGGGTGGCTCTGTTCTTCCCAGAACAATGGCCGGAAAGGCGGTGGGGGAGAGGCTTGGTGACTGGACTGGGACCTTGGTGGGAGGGTGGAGGGTCCCGGCCCTGGCCTGGCTCCAGGCATTTCCCCTGCAGCACAACCTCCTTTCCCGGCCTGGCCCTGAGGGTGGAAGGGTCCCTCCTGATTTAGGCTCAGGATGTGAGCTCAGTGGGCCACCCCCAGCCCACTCCCATTTCCTTTGGCCAGAGAAGGAGACAGCTCAGAAAAGGGAGTGGGGGAAGGAAGGAGGAGGGCCAGCGGCAAGGCTAGGGCTGCACCCCTCTCCTCCCAGCCACCTGGCCCGTGAAGAGGACCTGGGTGGGCAAGGGAGCACCAGACCCCAGAGGTTGAATGCGGGAACTGAAGGAGTAGCTCTCTTTGGCCCACTAGAAAGCAGCCCCCAGAAAAAAAGGGGAGGGGGCCCTGACACCTCCCTTCTGGAAATTTCCTTGGCCTCTCTGTGGCATGGAACAGGAGTTCCCAGCCTGCCTTTTGGGAACTGCTTTCGAAACCCCTGGAGAACGGTCTAACCTGTAGAGTCCCAGGCTCTCTGTGCTGATTTTAATTCTGGGGGGAGAAGCCCAGGGAGCCTGCCCTTTCTGAACAATCCTAGGGAATTCCGAGGAGCAGCCAAGTGTGGGAGCGCAGGCAGGAGGGCACGGGCTCGCCTCTGAGCTGCCACACAATGGCCGGGTGACCTTGGGCTCTCTGAGTGTCAGCTTCCTTATCTGCAAAGTGGATGTAGCGATAGGGAATTAAGGGGGTCACAATGGTTCATCAACTATAGGGTCTGCAAATGTCACCTTGTGATGTCCTTTTTGTTACTGGCCTGCCCAGCTTCTCAGACGACTGGGAAAGGAGGCACAGTGCCAGGGCCTCTCGAGGGGTCCCAAGATCCTGTCACTCTGTGCCCGTGCCCACTCTCGGCAAGGCTCTTTGGGGGATTGGGGAAGGGGCTGCTTCGCCTGCAGACATTTCCCTGTGAGCACAGGGAACCCTCCTGGAGCCTGGGAGCCCAGCTGTGAGGTTGCCACCACCAGCTGCCAGACCCCACCCGACTGTCCTCCTTAGGACCTCACTCTGAGGCCCTGGGGCGGTGAGGCCAATAGCAGCTCAACCCCAGCTCCACTGGGCAGGTCGCCAAAAACAACAGAGAGGTGAGGGCAGAAGGGTGAGAGGCTCCCACTCCTGCGCCTCCAGGGACTTCTTTGGCACCTTCCCCCCATCATGCTCCCCTGAATCCACTTCCCCAGGGCACAGACACACCCCCACAGCTCCATCTCCCTGTACCCTAGGCTTCCTGCCCTGGTGAGCAGGTGGGAGCCTCTGGTTCCTAAGGCCCCTAAAACCTTTCCTTCTGCCACCCACACTAGCAGGTGTGGGTGGGGATAATTAGATGTTTTCAAGTAGCCTTGGTGTGTCTTGGGGCTAGACCCCAGCACCCTTTCCCCCCAGGCCCAGAGTGGTGAGGACAGCCACCTCCTGCCCTTGCTGCTCCAGGGACTCAAGGGTACAAGTCTGTGTCCTCGGGGGATGGCCTGGAGAGCTTGCCCTGCAGCCCAGAGGTCTTCTCTCTTAGGGTCTCCCAGAAGAGGCTCCCGGGAGATAGGGCTCAGGGGTGGCCACCCATGCACAGAGCCCCAATAACCCTGTCAACACTAGAGACCCCAGAAAATTAGCTTTGGCTCCACCCCACCAAGGTACACAGGGAGATAAGTGGAGGGGAAGGGGCTCTAGCAAGTGATTAGATAGGGTTGGACTTTGTCTCAGGCAGCAGAACTCTTTTTAAAGCTATCTTACAGACGTCCCCATTCAGCCAAGACATAAATGCAGAGATGATCTGGTCGAAGACGTGGAGGTGGGGGGTGGAGCTGTCCGTTTGGTCTTTCCCAGCCCATTATCAGAACCCCCATGGCCTCAGAGAACAATCTGAAAACCACCTGCTAGAGGAAAACCCCATGAGGGCAGGAATTCCGGTTTGCTTCATTCACTGCCGAGACCCAGTGCTTTAGAACAAACACAGCCTGGCTGACACATAACAGGCACTCAAAAAATGTGAATGAACGCACTTCAACCCTTTTACTCTCCTGGTGAGGAAACCGAGCCCCAGACAGCTGAAGTGATTTGCGCGAGACACACAGCAAGGGGGACCTGACTTCCTCTGTGGCCCTCCCACACAGAGGCACTCATTGTACAGAACAAGACGGTTCTCCCACCCCAGGTCCCCTGATCACAGCAACCCCAGTCTTCTGTCTGAGACCCAAGACCTCAGGGGAGGGTCTCAGCCGACAGTCGCCCCATCAAGTACTCACTTGTCTTTGCAGCCTTGACTTTAGCCACCAGTTTCTGCACACCAGTCACATCTCCGTTTTTGACGGCAAGAATCAGGTCCTGTTCACGACCCATCCTGGTCCCTGGGCTGGGCTCTGGGCTCAGAAGTCCAGGACAGAGGCACAAAAACTGTTCTAAGCAAAGGCGTCAGGGGTCCATGCCTTGGCCCTTGGGAGGGCCAGGTGTCCTGGGGGAACGTGTCTGGTGTCTCAGGCTGTAGGTTTCTTGTTAGGCGCTGACAGGTATTCCAACAAGGTGCTTCATGAGCTGCCACCACAAGCAGGAAAGCAGATCTCTGAGGGGGTGGAGGCTGCTTGGAAATCTGGACAGATATCAGCTTGCAGCTTCTGACAGCCCTGGGCTGGGCTGGGGCTGGGCGCGCCAATCTTCCCGGCTGGCTCTGGAGCACCAGTGCCCACCCAGAGAGCAGTCGGCATTCCCTTGGCCCTCGTGCAGCAGCAGTGGGCAGGTCTTGGGGGTCTGGAAAAGGGCAGTTCTTCTGCTGAGCTATGCCAGAACCTGCATGGGTCCCAGAAGCACAGCAGGATAGAGCCTCCAGGACAGAAGCCCCCAAACCACCCTGGCTGGGCTTCTAAGTCAAGGGAGGAGCCGAGCCACTCAGAGCAGGAAGGGATCCACCAAGCATGAGAGGAATATTTGGAGGGGGGGAGGGGTGGCATTCTGGGAGGGGAGGCTGAGTCACTGAGGCCCCAGGGCACCTGGCAGCACTGCCACCTGGGGCAGGCTGGGCAGCAAGCAGCCTGTTCTCCACAGCCCAAGGGGCTGACACCCACGGACAACTGGCGGGCCAGGAGGCGGGGCCTGGGAGGTTTAGGCACAGCCAGACAGGAGGGGGTCACTCCCTGTTGAAGGTGGCTGCCCCCAGACTCCGCTCTTTATGAACTTAGAGAGTGGAGTGAGGAGTTTATGGCCCTCATTTCTGGCAGAGGTCTGCCTGCTGGACAGGGAGGCTTTACAGCACCTGTTGCTGACCTGTCCTCACCCCTCGAGTGCAGGATGCACAAGCAGCTGGGCAGAGAACAGAGACAAGAGCTGGGGCACCGCTGGAAAACGGGGCTGCTTGGCCCCTCAAGCTCGAAGCTGAGGCCCAGAGCCCCAACTTCAGTGCTGAAAAGCCTACCTCGGTGATCACGAATTTATTGCCCGAATCCTGTGGCATGAGACCCGGGCAGGCCTGGGGCTCTGGCTGGGGACCCTTCACTCCCTAAACGTCCCAAGCCCAGTCCAGATGGCACTCCCTCTCATGGCCCGCGGCCGACATTGGGGGAGGGCGCCCCTGGCAGTGCCTGGGGTCGGGCTGGCTCCCCCGCCCCCCGGAATGCCCGCCCAGGGCCGCGCAAACCCCCAACCCTAACCCAGCCGGGGCCGACCAGGGGAACAAAGCGGCGGGAGGAACCAATTGGGCCAAGCGCTGGAGGGACTGATGCGGGAGCTCGGAATAAGGGGGAGCAAAAGAGGACGGAAGGAGCAAAGAGACGGAGGCGCCCGCGGATCCCGCAGGAAAAGTTAGTTTGTGCCCGCCCTCAAGGACGCTGACCCCCAGCTCAGGCCCCGCAATCTCACCTTTCCCAGCCGCCCCGCCGGAGGTCCGGTTGGCCCTGCGCGGTCCTTGGCACTGTGGGCCGTGGCTCCCACTGCCCCCCTTACCTCCTTTCTCCTCCTCCTTTTCCAAGGCCGGCGCGGCGCCTCCCGCAGGAAATCCCGCCCCTCCCCCCTCCCTCCCGCCGGATCGGGAGCGGAGCAACCGTCCCGGCCGCGCAGTCGGACTGTCAGTCAGTGTCTGCAGCCCCGCCCAGACCCGCGCCAGGCCCCGCCCCCATCACTCCCGAGGGACTGGAGATGCTGGCCGGTATGCGCATGCGCGCAGGTGAAGTGCAGGGTGTTGAGGGGCGAGAGCTTGTGCCCCCGTGCGTTCCACTTGCGGAGCCGGGAGTACTTAGGTCTGTAGAGTTTAGGCCGAAGGGTTTGCGAAGGAGTCACAAACCCTTCGTTAGTGCGAAGGAGTCTGGAAACCGACACCCGGGTACCCCATTTGGGAAGCACCCCTTTTTTAACTCTTCGCCCCTCTTACGACTCCGGCAGCCACCTCCGACTGGGTCCCGAGCTCCGAAACACCGACTGATCGGGGCAATGGTGCCACCTACCGGACGGTATCGGAGCAGTCCACGGTGGCGGCGGCGTGGACCCCAGCCTCGAGGAGGTGCTAATGACGGACCGGGATTGGCGCTTCAGCACCACCGTGTGCCGGACAGCGCCTCCTGCCCCCCGGCCCCCCCCCCCGAGTCCTTGAAACCTGGCTTCCATATCCCTCGGAACGGACCTAAAGGAAGACCCTGAAAGAAACCTGAACCTCCCCAGACGGAACCTGACATATCCCGGTGGGCTTCAGTTTGCGAAGCTGGAATTCGGGAACCCACCACTCTCCCTTCTCTAAACCCCCTCTTCTTGTGTACTTGTCCAGCCAGATGGCGGGGACTAAAACAGCCCAGGACTGTGGAGTGGAAGCACAGGCATTTGACTATTCATACTGCACTTTCAGAAGCCAGGTTCCTCAAGTTTTACTAGAGAGAAACCCAGAAGAGGGTTAGGGACAGTAGAGGGAAACTCCTAAGAATCCAGAAACCTGCAAACGTTCTGCCCCTGGAATTGAGACACAAGTCTATAAGCTAGGAACCAGGACAGTTAGGAAGGCGGAGAGCCAGCCAGCGGGTTGACCTCGAGACTAGAGGAGCGGAGGTTGGATCCGCCGGCTTTAGGGCCGCTCGGAGTTCCGGCGGTAGGCGGGTCAAGGGCGGTACGCGCGCAGGCGCAGACAGTGGCCCGATGGAGTCCGTAGCAGACCTCGCAACCGTGGAGGTTCCCCCCGGGCGCGTGCTCAGGTGCGGCGCTGCCAGACCTGGGGGAGTCACGGGGACCGTGAAGTGGCCTCGGAGAATGGGACAGGGTCCAGGAATGGGCCAGGCGGCCCCGACTTCGTGTCTTTGACCCTGTGTCTCCCCCTTCCCTAGTGCCCGGGAACTCCTCGCCGCCCGCTCGCGGTCTCAGAAGCTGCCCCAGCGCTCGCATGGGCCCAAGGATTTCCTCCCCGATGGCTCAGCGGCCCAGGCCGAGCGGCTGCGCCTGTGCCGAGTGGAACTCTGGCAGCTGTTAGAGGAGGAGCGCGTGGAGCGCTTGTAAGGGGGGGCGGGCCGGACTGGGGGCGGAGTCGGGCCAGGCTGGCCGACTGACCCTTTAGACTTCCAGGTCGACTGAGACGGGCCCCAACCCACTCTTCAACAGGGGCAGTTTGGTGGCTGCCGAGTGGAGACCAGAAGAGGGGTTTGTGGAGTTGAAGTCTCCTGCGGTGAGCGGCGGGGTCCCTGGGATGGGGGAACCGTCTTCTCTCCCTTCCTGGCTCCTTTGTAACTTTGCTATGGATCCCACACAGGGTAAATTCTGGCAGACCATGGGCTTCTCAGAGCAGGGCCGGCAGCGGCTGCACCCCGAGGAGGCCTTGTATTTGCTAGAGTGTGTGAGTGGGACCTCGGGAGGGTGAGGAACGGGCTGGGACCAAGGAACCGGTAGAGGTGGGGTGTTGTGTGTTTTTTGTTTTTTTTGGTAGAAAAAGCATACGCAACTGAACCTAAGCTTCTAGAGCAAAAGACGAGAATGCAGGGCAGGAAACAGTGATTCCAGCCTACATTAGTGTTAGTGCTGCCCCCCTTCCTGCTTGACAGTATTCTTGCCGTGATGCTCTCGGGGTGGAACAGGGAGGGCACAGATCTTAAGAGACAGGGTTACCCCATTGGCAGTGCCACCGCAGGGAAGACTTACACGTTGAACTGTTGGCCCCACTTCCAGGGCTCCATCCAGCTCTTCTACCAAGACCTGCCTCTGTCTATCCAGGAGGCCTACCAGCTGCTGCTGAGTGAGGACAGTGTGACTTTCCTGCAGTACCAGGTATCTGTCTCCCTTTCTCAGGAGAGAAGTCACGCATCCACTGAGTCAGTTAGTACTTACAAGTACCTATGGGTGCCAGGCACAGAGCCGCTTGCTGGGGCTATGTGATAGGCAAGTGTTCAGCTCTCGTGGAACTTACATCCTAGTGGTGGCAATGGATAATAATAAATCAGCAAGCAAAAGAAGGGGTGACTTTGCAGAACTGAGGGCCAGGAAGAAGACAAATTAGGGGAGAGGCACTAGGCTGGAGACATCAGTATGGGCATCACGAGCCCGTGGATGGTATTCAAAACTGAGGGCTGTGTGGGTGTGTGGTTGGAGTGGAGGGCTGCATCTGAGACCTAGCATGCTCTAGCAAGAGGAGGTCAGGGGCAGGGGAGAGACCAGAAACAGAGACTGAGAGTGTCTAGCAACACAGGAGGAAAACCAGGAGAGGTGGCATCCAGAAACTGAGAGAAGAAACTTCCAGGAGGAAGTGGCCAGCTGTGTTGAAGGCTGCTGAGGGATCGAGCAAGATGGGGGACACTCCTGCATACATCTCTCTGATCTGGATGTGGGGACGGGAGGGTGAACATGTGGCTCTTTACCAGACTGTTCCCATCCCACCCCTGTCTGTGGAGGGCGTGGTGAGGTGTGTACCACCTTTTGCCACCCTCTTGTCCACTTTGTGGTCAGGAGCTTCTCTTTTATCAGCTTTAGCATCAAAATATTTTAAGGTGTAGTTTTTGGCCTGGCCCATTGGCTATCAGTTTTTTGGGATTTGCATTTAAATCAAGAAGTTGCTATATGTTATTTGTGCCAAGTAAGGTAAGCAAGAGACAAGAATTCATACTGAGACCTTAGTTTGGGGGAAGTACTTATAAAGGAGTGTGGTCCAATCAGCCCCAGGATTTGGAATCTGGGGGTGCGTGGCGGAGGGGGGATGGGGAATGGCTTCTGTCTGGAGAAGCTTTGGTATTTTCATAAGTGGACGTATAACGTTTAGGGTTTTTCTTGTTCTTTTGAGGTCTTCAGCCACCTGAAGAGACTGGGCTATGTGGTTCGACGATTCCAACCAAGGTAAATCCCCATCCTGTTGCCCTCCTGTTTGTTCTGGCCCTGGGACCTGGGTGACTGGCCCCAAAGCAGAAAGTGGCCACTGCTTCCCTAGAGTCCTTGGCTGGAGCCGCAGCTCCGTGGACATGGGCTGGGGGCCTCTGCTGGAAATGCTCTTTGGGGAGGCACGTTGGGACAGTCTGGGTCATTTCAGCTCACCCTGGTTATCAAGTTGAGCCCCACCTTCAGCCCGTGCAACCCCACAGATAATGACTGAGCGCCTGCAGCTCACTGTGAGCATGGAGATGTAGTGCCAGGACAGGGCTTGGCACTTAGTAAGTGTGCAAGCAGATTTGTCAAGTGAAGGCATGAAGGGCCAAGTGAGGAATTAGCAGTTGAGTAGAGTTTAAGGTTCCTTTTGCTAGGTTAGAGGTTCTTTTCTCTGGGGCCGCTGAAGGTCGTCACCGTAGTGATCCAGCATTGCTGAGAGCCACAGAGACCCCCACACTTCGAGTTGAAACCGGTACAGCCTCTGTAGGTTCCTGGTTTGTCACAAAGGCTCTGCAGCAGAGCTCTGACTTCTGGAATGGGAATATGTCCGAAGGGAGTGGTCGCAGATGTGTGCGTAAGTTCACCCACTCATCCAGCAACATCAGCTGATTCCTTACCGGGTGCAGGCCCTGTGCTCCTGAAAAGGAATAGCAGGGGGGGAAACCACTGCCCCAGACAACTTGCACTTAGTGGGGATCCTACACAAAACACCATCACCTTGCAAAATCAGCGAACTTGGAAATGTCATAGGAGTCCGACACAGAGAGAGGGTACGGGCAGGCGAATCAGTTTACCCCCCAGAACAGCACTGCCCAATAGAACTTTCTGTGGTGATGAAAATATTTTGTTTATACTGTCCAATGTATGTGGCTTATACAAGTGAATTTTCAGTTTTATTTCATTTTAACGGATTTAAATTTAACCTAAATAGTTCCCATCTAGTGGTTGCCATATTGGACAGCGCAGCCTTACAGCCATAAGAAACAACTTGTGGCGGGGAAGAAGGCTATAGGGCTAAGGACCCATGTCTGTAACCCACTATTGACAGCAAAAGACTATGAAGCAGTGAGTCACTTCAGCTGGAAAAAACAAGCATGGAGACAGACCGTCAACATGGTGTTTTTAGGAAACAAAAAATGGATGCAGGGGTGCAGCTGCCTTGGCAGGCTGGGGGGGGTACGCATATGGTGACAGCCCCCAACACTAAGCCCCCCTGTCCCACAGCTCAGCTGGTGGCTCCTTCCTTTGTCCTCCCACTTAACTTTTAGTGGGGACTAGAAGATGACACCTGGGGATCCGTAGCTGGCACTCAGAATGGTCGGATGGAAACCGCAACAGGAAAGCCCACCCCAGTGGGGGTGGGAGGTGCCACGGTGGGTGCAGACACAGGGTTTGGCTCTGCAGCGCCAGCTGGTGCAGGCTGTGTGGGTGGACAGGGTTCCTCCTTGGAAGAGTCGCCGGGTGAGGACAGGGTCCTGGCCGAGGGCCGCAGAGGAACCTAATGGTGGCAGCCAGCTGCAGAGGCCTGTTCTGACGCTGAGAACAGTGAGACACACAAGGCTGTGCTTCTGAGGAGAGATGTCTCACCCAGGTCCGTGGTGGCATTTTGGAAAACTGGCCTGCGGTGACTAAGATAACCTAGATTCCCTCACCCTAGCGAAGTTTCATTTTGCCAGCTTAGGAGGAACAATAGTCTCTTGCCTACCTGGAAGTGACCAAAGCCAAGGGGCTTGCTGGGTCCTTCTCCCCACCCACCGCTGAGAGTGGGGAGCTCACCCCTCAGCGGGGGGCACACCCATTCACAGCTGTCAGATTTGACAGCTGGAAGGGATCTTAGAGGCCTTGGAGTCGTCCAACTCTGTAGTTCTGCCAACAGAGAAACTGATATTCCAAGGGGTCGAGTGACCTGCCCAAGATGACACGGCTGGGTGCCCAGTTTCTAGAATAGTGCCTAGCACAGTGCGAGCCCCCTCTTAAAAATTAAAAAAAAAAAAAAAAAAAAAAAGGCCACTAGGGTCACTGGTTCGATTCCTAGTCAGGACACATGCCTGTGTTACAGGCTGGGTCCCCAGTAGGGGAAGTGCAATAGGTAACCACACATTGATGTTTCCCTCCCTCCCCCCTTTTTAAAAAAAGCAAATGAATTTAAAATCTAAAAAAAAAAAAGAAAAGAAACAAAATGTTATAGTGGTATCCATGGGTTTTATTTTTATTTTCTGTATTTCCCAAGTTTCCTAGTCAGTAATTAATTATTCATCGTTGGCTCTGCAGGAGCCCTGGTTCCAGGGAGACTCTGTTCAGAGGTGCCATTGGTGAGACCCAGAGGCCTGGGCAGGCCCGGTGGCCACCCCTGTGTACCCTGAGGGCAGGTCTGCCCTGGGCCTTGGCCCCTGAGCATGGCTCTGACCCTGGCCAACTGCCTTTGCTGGGCCAGTCCCTCATACACTCCGCCGGGAGCACCAGGCTGAGAAGGTGGATCTGTTGCTTGCTTCATTCCCATCCCACAGTGCCATCCTGTCCCCTTACGAGAGACAGCTGAACTTGGATAGCAGTGTCCAGAGCTTGGAGGATTGGAGTGGCAAGAGGAAGAGGAGGAGCTCCAGCTCTTGGTAAGGCTCCCCACAGGGCCACCTCGCAGGGAGTTCTGGGGGACAGAGCGGTTGAGAGAGTGCTGGCATTTGGGACCTTGGAGAATGCATGGAGGTGTCGAAGCGCTGGGCTTGGGTGGCTGCTGTGTGGGCTCAGGGAGGCAGTAGGACAGGCATGGGACGTACGCACCTCGGAAATCAGGAGCAGACGTACTGCGTTCCCTCCCTGTACTCCTCAGGTCCATTAATAAGAAACCCAAGGCCCTGGAGAACCCCCTGCAGGGGGTGGATGGGACACCCGAGAGCCTGGCAACCTCCATCCCTTCTCCCAGCAACCAAAACAGCCGACGCCCAGAGGAGAAACCCCAAGAGTCAAGCCTCGTAAAGGGCCCAGCGGGCCCCTTTCAGCTTCTGGGGTCCCTGGAGCCCTACCCTGGCCTGGCCAAGGAGGTGGTGGGGTGCAGCCAGGAAAGTGGTAAAGTAGAGAACGGGATCAAGGAGGCTTCTAAGCCACGCTGGAACTTTGAGCAGATCTCTTTCCCCAACATGGCTTCAGATAGCCGCCACACCCTCCTGCTCGCCCCAGCCCCAGAGCTGCTCCCAGCCAATGTCGCCGGGCGGGAGACAGACGCTGAGTCCTGGTGCCAGAAGCTGAACCAGCGAAAGGAGAAGCTCTCCAGGCGGGAACGGGAGCAACAGGCAGAGGCCCAGCACTTCCGGGAGGATGTAAACGCAGATCCCGAGGTGCAGCGCTGCTCCAGCTGGCAGGAGTACAAGCAGCTGCTGCACAGACGGCACCTGCAGCAGACCCAGAGCCGCCCGCCACACCTGTGGGACCAGCCTGTCACCCCCCTGCTGAGCCCTGGCCAGGCAGACTCGCCAGGTACCCTGCCTTAGCCCCACAGGTCACTAGCAGCTAAGAAATCACAAGACTTTGAATGGGGGGCATGGATTGACCACATCTGATGGAGGCTTAAGAAAGAGGAGGGAGGAGAGAGCAGTCCCGAGGAGTAGGACCCTTAAAGACAGTCTGTTCTCCTGGGAAGCAGCAAAAGGAGCCATGGGGGAAGGCTGAGGGATGGCAAGTCAATGCCAGAGAAATGAAAACTGCAACCACATCCTTAGCGTCACACACAAGATGTGTGTGGACAGCTCCGCCCCCACCTCTGTTAGAGGGGACAAGGTGGCATGGTGGCCAAAGAAGAGGAAGGTTTGCGGTGTGCCCTGCAGTGTTAAGAACAGGGAACCGACAGAGCAGTGATTTTCAACTGATGTGTTGCAAGAATGTTTAAAATGTGCAATGCCTGACTTTAGTCAGGGGCACTGACCTCTTTTCCCTCAGGCTGTCAAATTAAAAAATGACAACAGCCAACACAACAATAGCTGTCCTGTGTGAATGAATCAAAATTGTACCTATTTTTTGGTCAAATCAGTAAAACATACAGATTTTGTGGTATGCCACAGAACTTTAATAATTAGCTTATGGGCCATGAGATGAAAGAGGTTGAAAATCACTGTAATGGAACAAGAATGGTATCACTGGAGTCAGAGCTACTTACAACCCTTAAAGGAACATGGTAGATTGTAAGTAACTATACCAGGTAGCCCGGTCGGTTACATTTCAGATAAACAACATGGGACATACCTGTACTTTTAAAAATCTGCTGGGTCTGAGCAGCCTACACTAGAAGGCAGGTGAGAGATGTTAGGGACTGACTCCCCTCCCCCACGTCTTACTTTTACTGTCCTCACAGCCACCGTCCTTCAGCACATCTCTGTGCTGCAGACGACACACCTGGCTGATGGAGCTGCTGGGTGAGTTTCCAGGCAGTGCCGGTCCCCACAGTACTTGGCGGCCAGCAGGAGCTGGCAGCTGGGATTTGACTCCTCAAGTTGGGTATGAGCTCAGGGATCATTTCAGGGACGCCCACCCTGGCTAATACTCATGTATGTCCAGGGGAGAGGGAGGAGTGAGAGACAAAAGGTGGCTTTATTCCCAGGGTTTGGAGATGGCAGCGGAGCCTCCCCTTACCTTCAAGGGCGCCTCACAGCAGGACCTCAGTTTCCCTGCAGAGGGTCCTTCCTGGAACTGGGGGAGGGAAAGGGTGGTGTGAAAAGACAGAGTGAAGCAGGAGAGTCCCTAAAGTTTCTCGCTTGTTTCTCAGGCTGCCGGAGATGTCAGGGGGCGTGGAAATCAGCTTTGATGTTTACCAGGCTGACGCTGTGGCCTTGTTCCGAAAGAATAACCCTGGCAAGCCCTATGCCCGGATGTGCATCAGTGGGTACGAGACCAGCAAGCACTGCCCCCAGGCTGCTTCTGGTTCTTTTGTAAACCAAGTGGACCTCTTCCCCGCACCCCTGACCTGTCTGCCAATCCCTGAAGGGTCCAGAGAGATTATGGGACAGAAGCGAGGCTACACACAGCCAGTTGGGGCTATGGGAAGCCAAGCTTACCAGTCCTCAGCCCTGAGTCCTGGCATTTTGGGGTAGTCCTTCCTGTGCCACTTACTCCTGAGCTCAATGAGAACCTCACTCTCCTGAGCCCCTTTACCCAACCAGGACCCTGGGTCTCTTGAACTTACCCGAGCCATGCAGTCTGCAGACAGAAGAGCCTAGGGGGCTACACTTCTGTACCCCCAACTCCTGTCTTAGTCTCCCTTCCCTGGGAGCCATAGAGGGCTGGTGTCCAGAGCCTGCGGGTAAGCTACGGCCAGGTCTCAGTTGAACCTTTATTCCTGCAGATTTGATGAGCCAGTTCCAGACCTCTGCACCCTCAAGCGGTTGTCCTACCAGAGCGGGGATGTTCCTCTGATCTTTGCCCTGGTGGATCATGGAGACATCTCCTTCTACAGCTTCAGGGACTTCACACTTCCCAGGGATCTAGGACACTGACCAGCTCTGGCAGGGCCTGGGCCTGCCTGGGGGGACTTTGACTGTCTACTCTCAGGGACAATCTCAGTTGCCTCCTACACCCAGTAGCTGCATGGGCTGGTCTGGGCCTTGGCCCTGGGTGTCTGATACTTGCAGAAGAGCCTAGCCCAGCCTCCCCAACCTGGCCGCTGCAGCACTTCCAAGCCCCAGGACTGAGACTGCTGCCTTGCAGTGACCCCCTTGGAACTCAACACTGGATTCTAGAGACCCAGCGAGGTGAGGCAGAAGAGGACTCCGTGCCTTTAAACGTGAGGGTGCCTGCCCATGCGATAAAGCCAAAGCCATAGCTATTAAAAAATAGATTGCTTTTTCTTTTGTGGCTGGATATACTGGACAAGTCCCCAGCCCCGGTGTCGGGGCACAGACCTCAACCCCCTCCCACTGTCCGTGGAACTGGCCCCCAGACTCTCGTCTCTACTTTGCCCACCCACAAAGACCCCTGCTTTCTCTGGTGTGGAAGTTAAGAGAAGCCCTTGGGAGGGCGGGAACGCAGTCCCCCACCTTTCTCAGGAGATGCGCCGGAGGGCTTGAGAAGTCAGAACTCTAGTCAGCTTGGCTTCATGAAGGGTAGTTCAGGGAGGGAGCCCGGCGCTCCATCGGCCGTTCCCTGAACGCAGCAGGGTCTGGGGAGAAGGCCGGCCGAGAGGCGCCATGTCGGAGTGGTTCGACCCTGCTCCCGCTGAGTTCTGCGATGGAGCGCTCCACACACGTCCCGGGCTTCGGGCCTGGTCTCCGCGCCCCTTAACGTTACCGCCGCTCGTCGCTCCAGCCCCCTCCTTCATTGCTGAAAACTTGGGTGTTGTTTTGGTTATCTCGGGCGCCTGCCAGACAAAGCAGGGGCTCGGAGGAGGGGGTCCAGGCTTGGAGCCTACCCCGAGGGGAGGCGCCTCGCGGCGACGCCCCTGTCCTCACGCCATCTCGCTCCGGGATCCAGAAACGTGGCCCTGTGTCTGCCGGCCACCCTCTCTGATTGGGCTGGACGCTCTCAGGAAGAGCCGCCCGGCTATGCCCCTCCCTCGGGGCTCCGGGCCGGGTTACGGGAGGCATGGATCCTCTCGGAAGTCGGGCCTGGGAGGTGGCCCTGGGCGGTTTCGGGAACTATTTCTTCCGCAGGGAGGCGGCGGGACACTGGGCGCAGCATACAGTTCTGCGACCAGGTGCCAGCAGGTGAGACCAGGGGCGGGGCGGCAGCGCCTCGTGCATATTCACACTGGCTGAGGTCCCGCCCCCGTCCTGCCCGGGGCCACGGATTGGCCCGAGCGCGGTCCCCGCCTCCAGAGGGCTCCCTCGGCCCGCCCTCACCCCGCAGGCGCAGGTCTCCGGGGGGCGGGGGGCGAGGCGGGGCGAAGCCCGGCTCTCAGCGTTCCGCCAGCCGGGGCGGCTCGCCCTTTATGTAAATAGAGGCAGCTCCGCCCCTTGCTCGCCGCGCCGGAGGTGAGCAGGAAGGAGGCTGCAGCCCAGAAACCTGTGGGCCGGCGGCGGAGTGAGCGATCCGGCTGCGGTCGCTGAGAGTCACCGAGGCCTCGGGCGGGGGCCGGCCTGGGGTTCCAGGTGAGGCGCGGGCCGGGGTCCACCTAGCCGGGCCCGCCCCCATGGGGGGCCGGCCACTCTGGACGGAGAGGCTGGGGAGGGCCGGGACCCCGGGCTTCCCGGGCTGGGTGGGGAGGGCTGAGCCCAGGTCCGCCCGCCTCGCCCAGGATCCAGTCGCTCAGCTCGTCTGGGGGAAAGACACCTGTAGATAGTGCCACTGGAAACTTTTCTCTGCTTGAGCCGCCCTCGATTACAGAATTTGGATTTTGGGTGTGCACAATAGTGTTGCCTTTGGAGAGCTGGGAAACAGGTGCCCCAACTGGCTGAGTGCGAGGGTCTCTGCGCGCGGAGACTTAGTCCCTGGGTCTCGGTCCCCATGTGCAAGGCGCCTGGCCCGGCCTGCGTCTCTGATGACCCTCTCTCCGCAAGCGACGTCGGCGGCTTAGCCCCCCCGTCCCTGCCATATGGATTCTCTCCCTACCAGCCCTTTGTGCCTCCTAATCCTCGGACGCAGGAAACCGCGGGAGGGACTTAGATCTCAGGGCCTTTCTGCGTCTGGTGGCTTTGAGGACAGTATGGAGACCTAGTCTGCTTTCCACCACGATGGGGGTGGGGTTGAGCCGGGGAACGATGGACTTGGGGAGGAGAGAAAAATTCTGCCATGCCCAAGGAAGTGTGCAGAGTTTGGTCTTGGTTTGCTTCGGCTGGACGGTTGGTAGATACACCGAGCTCTGGCTGTGGGGAGAACTGACTGTAACCGGGAGAGGCGTGGTGTGGCCCACTGTGGCTTTCACCTGACTCAGGTGAGCTTTGGGTGAGGCGGGCGGGGCTTAGACTCATGCCCTTTCCCATGGGGATTCCTGTGCCAGATGCAGGGCGTCTTAACCTGGGCTCTAGGGACCCTTCTCGGAGTTTACAACTCCAGGCTGCAGAAGGGATTCTGAGTTGGGGGGAGAGCTGGGAGGGAATGAGCGAGTCCGGGAGACAGGAAACCCAGGTGGGAAGAACAGAGCAGCAGCAGCAGCAGCAGCAGCAGCAGCAGCACAGAGGGCTGTGGCCCAGCTCTGGGGAAGGCAAGGTCAGAAGTGGCTTTTGAGGAAAACAGTCTGGGTCAGAGTGAACTGTGAGGTGCGGCGGGGGTTCTGGGAGAGGGTCTTAATTTTATGAACAGGGAATCCAGATTTGGTTTTCTTAAGTGATCTGCCCACAGTGCTCACTTACGGGGTGCTGACCAGGACTAGGCCCTCTTCTTAGAAATTGGACCAGGCCAGTCTCTGGGGGCCCCTGGACAGTGTTTCCAGGGCCTGGGGTCATCCTGCATGCCTACCGTACTCAATGGAGGCCATGGCGTGTCCCCTTTGGTGGGAGATTAATACTGTTTTAATAACTTAGTAATGTAGTACTTAGTAACTCCTTAATATGTGGCATTAAAAGGGGAAAAAAAGCCCATAATTCCAGATGACACATGTTGGTTTAAAAAATAAAAAAGGTAATAGGAGACCATAATGGGAGAGATGAAACATTTTAGAAGATCCAAGAGTGAAAAACTTACCCCTCTTGCCTCACAGTCTTTTTTCAGAGAGAGAGTTCATTAAGTGTTTTAGTGCCTTTCTAGACTCGGGGGTGATTTTGAATCATGCCTGGCCAATCAATGTCTTTCTGCATGACCTTGGCTTGGAAAATTAACTGCCAAAACTCAGCTGAGCCTTGTTATACAGATGTTGATGAAAGGGTGAAAAATGCCACAAATTTGAGCGGCCTGGCACCCAGCCAGAGCCAGGTAAGGGTAAGCTTAGCGTCCCCATGAAGCATAAAGACCGTGGTCACTCGTGGGCCTTTGGCCAGATGCCTGGGCCTTCTGGGTTTGCCTGGTGGCCTGTGAGGGAATCTGGCTTCTCTGTCCAAAAACCAGCCAAGGGGTCATGATTGTCCAGAGCCTCTGGAGGTCAGAGCTTTTAAAATGAGGGCAGGGGAGGGGGGGAAAGCAGTGGGCTCTCCTAACCTCATTCCTATCCTGGCGGCCCTTGGCAACTCCCCTGCTCTTTGGAGGAGCCAGGAGGGAGGCCTGAGGGCCAGACCCCAGCTGGGGACCTGTCCTGGGGCGAGTGTTCAGAATTTAATCTGCTTTGCTTTCTGCTCAGGGAAGTGCTTGCCCGTAGGTATTCTTCTCCCTGTTGGGGGTGGGGGCCACATTCTGTGCTGCTCTGTTGTCATTAAGAAGGTTTTCCGGGAACTCCATAGTGCTTTCTTTCAACCTTATTTAGAGAATGATCTCCTGGCCCCAGGACCCTCTCCCTAGGAGAAAGCGGTACATGGAGCTGGAAAGTTTGGGACCTCTGCTGTCAGTCTGTGACACCCCTGCCTACCCTGTTAGAGGCTTTAAGCATCCTGGGAATGAGTTTCCAAGAGCAATACGGGATTTTCTGAAGGGTTATTTAGCCTTCTGGATTCACCCAGGTGTGTTAGAAACAGATGCTGAGACACCTGGGTTGGGGTGGAGAGGCCAGTGGCCCCTACTCCTGGGTTGGCTTTGCCCAGCTGCTTTTGAGGTAACCTTCCCTCTCTGCCATAACTCAGAGGAAACAGGCCCTTTGAAGAGTCACCCCACTCCTTCTCCTTCCCAGGAGCCACAGTGGATTCTTGAGTTAGGAGAGGCTTCTCTGGGCGTGGGGACGGGGAAGCTGCTAGGGACCTGACTCTACCCTTCAGGAATTCAGCAGTGACCGGAGCCTTCTCTTGAAACACCTGTTTGATGAAAGGGACTTCTGGGCACAAGACTGTTTGACTCTTATGAATAATGATACTGCTGGATTCTCCTTGCCAAGGAGTTGGCTGTCCTGGAGCCTCGGACTGAGGCAGGGCCCACAGAAGTGCCCCAGCAGGGTGCCCGGCGTGGTGTCCACATGGCCCTGGCCAGAGACTTGAGACTAAAGTGGGGAAGTTCCCTAAGGGACCTTATGGTGCCCCAACACAGTATTCTTTGGGGTTAGTGGCTCCCACCTAGAGAAGACCTCTGTCTAGTTGGCCCCCGTTCAGCCCTAGCTATTCTTCGTTCAGTAAACAAGTGCTCACTGGCCGTCTGTGTGCGAGGCACGGCTCAGACAACGGGCATGACCCTCACAGCGAGCAAAGATCTCTGCCATCACAGGATTCGAGTGCTAAAGGGTGGGGACCTTGAGCAACAGAAAATAGTGCAAGTAATAAATAGTGTATTGAAAGGCGATATGAGTGGGGCTGGTGTAGCTCAGTGGATTGAGCACAGGCCTGTGAACCAGAGGATCACGGTTCAATTCCCAGTCAGGGCACATGCCTGGGTTGCAGACTGGTTCTCTACAGGCCAGTTCCCAGCAGGGGACGCATGAAAGGCAACCTTACATTGATGTTTCTCTCCCTTTCTCCTTCCCCTCTAAAGATAAATAAATATATTTAAAAAAAAAAAGAAAAAGAAAGGCGATATGAGGTACTGAGTAGCAACTAAAGCAAGGGATAGGACCCCTGTAGTGGGGGCAGGTTGCAAGCCAATAGGTGGTCAGGGCCCTGGCCGGGTAGCTGAGTTGGTTAGAAAGTCATCCTGATACCAAGAAAGTCAACCAAGGTTGTGGGTTCGATCCCTAGTCAGGGCACGTACAAGAATGAACCAATGAATACATAAATAAGTGGAACAGCAAGCAGATGTCTCTCTCTTTCTCTCCCCCCTCCCTCCTCTCTCCCTAAAGATCAATCAATAAATTATTTTTTAAAAAAGGGGTGGTCAGAGTGGGCCTGGACAAGGTCCCATCTGAGCACAGACTTGCAGGGGTGAGGGGGTTCTTTAAATGACATCCAAGTGTCTTTCATAAGCTAGGGCACTAAGCACCAGTGAAATAGCCATGGACAGAACAGGGACAGTCTGTTTCTCCTGGAGCCGACATCTTCTAGAAGCTCCTTAGGACAACAGTTCAAGTTTTGCAATAGGCGGGAGGCCGTGGGATGGGACCTGATAGGACGAACCGGGCAGCCTGCCCACCTCCAGCCCGGGCAAGTTGTCCACCTTCTCCCAGGATGGCTTTGCCGTTCCTTGTGCTTTGCCATATCCAATCCATCACTTCCCTGGAGAGAGTCCGGTGCTGGATGGCAGGAGACTGAGGCCCCCAGAATGGTGAGGGGGGGGCGGGCTTGGGGGTGGCCCACACATTCCCATTTCCTACCCCATCCTCACAGCCAGGCTGGGGAGGAAACCCTGGAGGAGGAGTCTCAGGTGCAGTGGGAGGACCTTTCCTGGCGTATGAGACTGGCTCATGGCTCCTTAGGATAGGTAGTGGGGTGGGCAGGTGGCAGCTGACCCGGACCCAGCCAGGGATGGCCAGGTCAGGCTGTGGCTGCTGACCCCAGGTGGTCCCACCCAGACTACTGCTGGCCAGTCCCTTTGTCCTGGGAGAGAGGCCTGCATTGGGCAGAGGGTTTTGCAGTCTTGTCGGAGTTCAGGGACTTGGAGTCTTGCTAAGTGCTTGGGCTTGATAGCCCTCGTAATTGGTCATTTCATAAGTAATCGTAAGGATTACATGAGATGATGGATGTAAAATACTTAAAGCAGCAAATGGCCGTGGTTTTCTCCCAGTCTCTTGTAGTACCTAACAATAGCAGTGGCAATT